TGAGAATGCCGGTTCTCTACTAAACATACCAAAAAGTAGCCAAGCGGGGTGACGAGCGTACGACTGTAATCCCGTGGCTAGCTCGGGAGAAGCTGAAGGCAGGTGGAGAATATGGTTGAACCCGGAGGGCGGGAGGGTGCGAATGAGCCGACAGCCCCACTGCACTGCAGCTGGATAACAGAGCGAGGACTCGTCCTCAAGAAAAAAATGCAAGGCTGATGTGGAGAACCTCAAACTTGGTGGCACACTGTATTCTGATGTATCGATGTGTGGTGGGGGTCGAGTAGTGAGAGGCCTGCTGAAAGTGAGTAGTCGCTGTGGCTCAGCCTCCACCTCTCTGTCGGCTCGCATCTTTCCCCGTTTCCATAGGACTAAGACTATCACCGGGTCAGCTGGATGCGCCTTCCACATCGCTCCAACATGAAACCTATGGGCTGCTAACAACGAGGTACCTGCAGCAATATCAGCCAGGGTCAAGATATGGTTATCTTCTTATGATCTCTAAGCTTAACTCTGCTTGTTAAATATCCAGATAAAGAAGCCCGAAAGGGTCGAGTAACCTCTGCCAAAAGGAGCTCCACAATATCAGAGGTAAGCTTTCATATTCATTTTGCATTGAAAAGTTAACAGATAACAATCTTGGAGTTTCTGGCATATGGGAGTGTTGCTAACACTCTCACCTTAACACTTTGCAATGTGGATTTCCAGAAGGCCTGAGTGCCTCTTAAACAGTTCAGATTCTTTTGAATATGGGGATCAAGAGATGCAAGTGGAGTTACATGAATTTAGAGGAGAGTGACAAGATGGCTGGTGTAGGAGGTGAACTCAAACCACATAGTAGAGAGCAAGTGATGAAGAAAAGAGATGTGTTAGGTTCCGATGATATCTCACTTGTTCTCTATGACTCCAATCAGTTGACCCACATCAAAGTGTAAAAACTGCAGGGAAATTAATTCTGATCCTACACAAAACTACTCAAGAGGGGCCAGTGCCATGGTTGCTGAAGTGGCTTAATGGGCTGGGCCTGCTCAGGGTTGCTGTAAAGAAGATTCAGTCATTGGACCAGCAGGCTGGACGTATAACAGGGCTCTAACTGTATCTTCTATTCTGTGATTGTATGTGTATGCTGTTTTGAGTGAGGGAAAAACTGCCGCTCAATTTTTAAAAAAACTTTTAAATGGCAGCAAAAGGAGATTCAGGGTTGGCCCAAGGAATACACCCACAACAAGCGAGGAGGTGATCTAGAGCCTCCCACGCCAATGTCTGCTGGGGTCCACATCCCCTGTCACGGACTGCGGCTTTAGGGGATCTGCACGGAGAGAGGCTAACTGATGGAGCTGGGTACCCTGTGGCCCTGAGAGCAGCGTTGCCCCATCCTCGTTCCTTGCCTTTTCCTTGCATTCCCTCTCTGTAGATTTCTTTAGCCCTGCTCTTCTCTTCTTTTTCGTCCCTCTCTTTTTCTGTTCTCGTTTGCCTTACTCTTACCTAACCTTTGGTCTTGTTTTTAGTCTTTGGTCTCCGTACCTGGGAATCTGCTGGTTTCTCTGTACCCCTTTCAGCTTAAAAAAAAAAAAAAAAGAGCAAAAGTTTAATGCAAATGACATTAATAAATATCTAAAGCAATGGTTCTCAACTTGGGCTATACGTTAGAATCAACTGGGAAGCTTCAAAAAATGGGGTTGCCTGGGTAACACCCCTGGAGATTCTCATTTGATTGGTCTGGAGTGTGGCTTGGATTTGGGGATTTTGAAAGCTCCCCAGGTGATTCTAATGTACAGTCAAGGCTGAGGGTCATTCATCTAAAGTCTCCCTGAAGTGTCCTGGCATTGTAAATATTTGTCTCCAACAGGCATCCCTGATGTAAGTAGTCTCCTCCTTCACTTTGGTCTGCTGTGGTGTTCTCAGGAGAGAGTCCTGACTCTCTCAATCCCTTCCAATTTAGCTTTGCTCCTTTCCTTATGTGTTTCAGAATTGATCCATTCAGGTCATCATAGAGAAATTCTGCCTTTCAGTGTTATAAAATCCTAGTCATTTCTCCCACTTCTCTTTGTGGTTTTATTTGACTGGTAAGTCAAAATAATATCCAGCATTTTATGAGTAGTTATCGATTGAATCAGTGGTTTTTGATGCTGGCTGTACCTTAGAAACACCTAGGAAGCTTTAAAAATATACCACTTCAGGGCACAGTGGCTCACGCCTATAATCCCAGCACTTTGGGAGGCTGAGGTGGGCGGATTGCCTGAGGTCAGGAGTTCGAGACCATCCTGGCCAACATGGTGAAACCCCATCTCTACTGAAAATACAAAAATTAGCCAGATGGCACATGCCTCTGGTCCCAGCTACTCGGGAGGCTGAGGCAGGAGAATTGCTTGAACTCAGGAGGCGAAGAAGTTGCAGTGAGCCCGAGATTGTGCCACTGTACTCCAGCCTGGGTGCCAGAGCAAGACACCGTCTCAAAACAACAATGACAACAACAACCACAACACAACAACAACAACAACAACAAACATTTTTCAGGCCCTAATCAAGAAAAATTAAATCAGAAACTCTTGGAGGTAGGGCCTAAGCATTTTTTAAAGCTCCCCAGTGATTCTAATGTGCTACCTGGGTTAACAATCACTGGCCTAGGTACTATGTAAATTTATCCTAATTTCTTGCAATTCCCCCTTCATTTCTTGCTCACTAACTTTAGGCCACTGCCTGCAATTAGTTTTGTCAACTCTGCTCAGAGGACAAGTAGGTGTCTCATCTGTGCTCTCCTCTTCTGCTTTGTAGGCCTCTAATCCCTAGGTAGCAATCTTCTGTAGTCAAGATTCAACTCCCCTCCTCATGGCGCCTGCCTGGGTAGTGTCAGTCCTGCTTCCCAAACCCAGCATAATAAATTTGCTTGTCTGTGTTCATTTGATATCTGATGTGATGAATTAGCCTATGTTTATGTGGTAGTAATTCTACCAGTGAGTTAATATATTACCTATCTTAGGCAACACATTCCTAAAACACAAGGACATCCTTTGGAGACAGGTGTATTACAAGGGGATGGCTTTAACACTGAGGATTTCAGCAGACCCGCTGAGAGAGCTGTTTGAGAGCTTGGAGCCATTTTGCTGTCTATCTCTCTCTCTCCATGCCACTCAATGTCTTCTCCGCTATCTACGACCTTCCCAAATTTGGGGCTCCTTCAGTAGGTGGAGCCAGGTCAGGCCAAGGAGGAGGAGGATCTCTCACAGCAGTCGGTTCCTATGTTGTCAGTGGTTCCAATATAAAAAAGGGGAGAAGGGAGCCGGGCGCAGTGGCTCACACCTGTAATCCCAGCACTTTGGGAGGCCGAGGTGGGCAGATCGTGAGGTCAAGAGATGGAAACCATCCTGGTCAACCTGTGAATCCCCATCTCTACTAAAAATACAAAAATTAGCTGGCTGTGGTGGCACATGCCTGTAGTCCCAGTTACTCAGGAGGCTGAGGCAGGAGAATTGCTTGAACCCGGGAGGCAGAAGTTGCAGTTAGCTGAGTTCGTGCCACTGCACTCCAGCCTGGACGAGAGAGTGAGACTCTGTCTTGAAAAAAAAAAAAAAAAAGAAAAGGAGAGGAGAGGAATAAAGTGAAGGAGTAAAAGGAATTACTGTGGATCACAATTTCCCAGGTGCTTTGAATAATTGTGATAATTGAAAACAGACTAATAATGATATTTAATAAATGCAATTATACTTTGTCTTCAACAGAAGGCTTCTTCTGAATTATCTTGTCATCCCATCAAAGGCCCAAGTTAAGAAACCAGGCTACATTCCTAACCTGGGAGGTGAGTGCAAAGCAAGGGATTCCCATATATGTCATATATGTGACATTTCTTTTAAAATTGCAATTTGATTAATTACAATTGGAAATGATTTTTTCTTCATTAAAAGGATTCTCCTATACAGTCTATTCTCACCTAGCTATGGTTGGAAATGTATTCATACTTCAAATTCTTAGGCTACTGAAATTTTTTTGGCCCCGAAAATTAGGCAGGCATGTCTGAAAATGCTTTTAAATTAGCCTGGGTGACTTTTAGATGGGAGTGAGGAGAGCTGCTTGCTCTGCTTAACTGCTCCCTCTCTTCAATCTTCTATCTAGTTCTCTATCCCAGGACATCCTATATGATATCAGCAGTATCCCCAAATTTCCCATTGTGACCCGTTTCTTTTCCCTAGCATGAAAAGATCAAGGTATGATAAACAATGTCTGTGAGAGGCCTCAGGGATGATGGAGAAGTTTATTTACATTTGAGATCTTAGAGATAGACAAAGATATATAGAAAAACAGAAGTAGAGGAAGGAGCCATAGGGGAAAACAGAAATTCAGATACATAAAGACAGAGGGACATGGTGACTCATGACTAGAAGAGAGCCACGTAGATACCAGGACATGTGCAGACACAAGTCTTCCAATCCTGTGTCTCGATGTCCCTCTGGATCTAGAGACAGAAAAGAGAGGAAGACAGAGGAACCCACACTGAAATACCCACATTCATAATAAGAGACAGAGAGATGCAGGGAGGGGATAAGAGATGCATTGGGAGACCCAGGGAAATGCAGAAAAACAAAACAAAACAAAACAAAACAAAAAACAAAAACAAAAACAGAGAGATTGACTCACAGAGACACATACAGCATGACAGAGACAGAAACACAGACAGATGCACTCAGCTGTGTAGAGAGGGCCTCCCACCCCTCATCCCAACACATCCAGGCTCCAGCAGCGTTTGTGGCTTTCTGCAGCAGTTCAGTGCCTTGTATGAAAAATGGGTCTTTTTCAAGACGTGTTACAATGAAAAGGAGGTGGTCCAGCTTAGAGAAAGACAAGGTGTGTAATTCAGCATTTGTGGGCAACAGAAAAGACTGTTCTCTGGATTCCAAAGTGGCTTAAAGGGAGAAGACTCTCCATCGGCCATAAGGGATGTACCCACATGGGCTCATTATTCAAGACAGTGAGCTTATAATGCAGATGTTATAAAGCCTATGAATCTTGCTACTTGTACGTGAAAGCTGTGATCTTCTGTTCTTGACGAGGTTGTCTATTGCAGGAATGGCAGAGCCCAAAGGAGAAATGTGCTCATTCCTGTCTTCTTGCCTCTGGAGAATATGTAGGAAGCTCACACATGTGGTGCTGATGGAGGAGGGCGTGATGTGCAGAAAGGATGAAAGCCTCCTCTGTCTAAGCTGTTCTGTGCTACTAAACGTTTCTCATCCATCAACTGTACATAGCTACATATACGTCATGCTGAGCAGCCACAGCAAACAAAAAGACAAAGGGGGTCACCACCGTGTTTTTTGTTGGGGCTTTTCCACCTCTTTGCTGTTGGGTCACATTTGTCTTTGGAAAGCAAGCTCTGTCTCATCTTGGGAAAGGCGGCCTGGGATTTCACCTGGCTGGATTCTGTGTGTTGCTGAGGGAGGAGCCTCATGAATAGTCACAAAGAGTTGGGCTGATTCTAACTAGGTCATTGCTGATTTTTTTTTTTTTTTTTTTTTGCTTTTGTTTTTTCCCAAAAGGAATCCACTGCCAGTATAGTCTACTTTTTCAAATTTAAATAGATTGGATGGTCCAACCTGGTGTGGGCTTAGATACAACTTCCTTGGCCATGAACCAAGGGGAAAAGCATAGAGTTTTTGAGACAGAAAGGTGACTATTTTCAGTTAAGGAGATGGAAGCCTGGAGTTGTGAGTCAATGCTAATCAAGGACGGAGCCAGAGGTAGACCCAAGGTCGCTGGCTCCCAGCCCTGCACTTCCTCTTCAAGACCGTGTACCAACTGAAAGATCTTCTGCCTACACTGACAATGCAAGATCAATCCTACCAAAATATGCTTTTTTGATACCTGGATTGGAGAGAGGAAATATCACCTTTCCAGTTCCAGAGCTGCTCATTTCTCTAACTTGTATGTAACAAATTCACATTCACAGGGTGTTACCTGATAGAACAGTATTGTAGGTAGAAGCGTC